GGCAGCACTCATGGATTTAGAGTTTTGTAAATATGGAGCCCAGAAAAACATTACTCTTCTCTATCTCTCTTTGTGCTAGTGTTCTGTCACTACAGAAACTGGAAACACACTGTGGAACAAAAACATCTATTTAGTCTTGATAAAATATGAAAAACACTAGTTATAGAATGAAGGTAAATTTTGTATGGATGTGAATGATTTTTAGATTAAGCTGAGGACTAAATCTGTCACTAACATCAGTGGGAGAAATATAAAAGGGAATGTGTAAAAACATGAAGGGGAAGGAAAATAAAAGATGCAAAGAAAAAATCCAAGCAGTAATTAACATTGACTTCCCTCTGTGTTGAAAAGGGAATGGCAACAAGAACAAGAACTTTTTTTTACTTTGATTACATGTTATTATAAAGTAGTTTATCAATCATCTTTGCACAGACTGAAGGCTGATCAGAAAACTACTTCAAATTATAAAGTGCATCAGAGTATGCACAGCCCAATGTAAAGGAAAAACAATCCAATAGGGGAAAGAAGGATGGGCTGTAGGTGTAGACAATGCAAAAAATCCATTCATCCGAGTTACACATGATTACTTTTTGTAAGAGCTTCTTTTTTTAATGGGTTACTCAGCTCTTTCGCAGACTTTTTCTAGGTTTTCTAAAAAGATTCCTCAGAGATTCTTTTTATCTATATATATATATGTATATATATATATATATATATATATATATATATATATATATATATACACTACCGTTCAAAAGTTTGGGGTCACATTGAAATGTCCTTATTTTTGAAGGAAAAGCACTGTACTTTTCAATGAAGAAAACTTTAAACTAGTCTTAACTTTAGAGGAATACACTCTATACATTGCTAATGTGGTAATTGACTATTCTAGCTGCAAATGTCTGGTTTTTTGTGCAATATCTACATAGGTGTATAGAGGCCCATTTCCAGCAACTATCACTCCAGTGTTCTAATGGTATAATGTGTTTGCTCATTGGCTCAGAAGGCTAATTGATGATTAGAAAACCCTTGTGCAATCATGTTCACACATCTGAAAACAGTTTAGCTCGTTACAGAAGCTACAAAACTGACCTTCCTTTGAGCAGATTGAGTTTCTGGAGCATCACATTTGTGGTGTCAATTAAATGCTCAAAAGGGCCAGAAAAAGAGAACTTTCATCTGAAACTCGACAGTCTATTCTTGTTCTTAGAAATGAAGGCTATTCCATGTGAGAAATTGCTAAGAAATTGAAGATTTCCTACAACGGTGTGTGTAAGGTGTGGTAAGGTGGGAGATTTGTACAGGGTAAAAAGGATTCTGAATAAGGAAGGCTATCACTCCATTTTGCAACGTCATGCCATACCAAGTGGACAGCGCGTGATTGGAGCCAATTTCATCCTACAGCAGGACAATGACCCTAAACACACCTCCAAATTGTGCAAGAACTATTTAGAGCAGAAGCATGTAGCTGGTATTCTATCGGTAATGGAGTGGCCAGCGCAGTCACCAGATCTGAACCCCATTGAGCTGTTGTGGGAGCAGCTTGACCGTATGGTACGCAAGAAGTACCCATCCAACAAATCCAACTTGTTGGAGCCGCTTCTGGAAGCGTTGGGTGCAATTTCTCCAGATTCACTCAACAAATTAACAGCTAGAATGCCAAAGGTCTGCAATGCTGTGATTGCTGCAAGTGAAGGATTCTTTGACGAAAGCAAAGTTTGATGTAAAAAAAATCTTATTTCAAATACAAATCATTATTTCTAACCTTGTCAATGTCTTGACTCTATTTTCTAATAATTTCACAATGTATGGTGGTGAATAAGTGTGACTTTTCAGGAAAACACAAGATTGTTCAGGTGACCAAACTTTTGAGCGGAAGTGTGTATACCGGTATATATATATATATATATATATATATATATATATATATATATATATATATATATATATATATATATATATATATATATATATATATATATACATATTATCAAAGCAGCACTCACATCAATTCATCAAATAACTAATTTAAAATAACATTTACCACATTTTGTCAAACTAATTATTTCCTTATCTTCACCAAATACTCAATCTAAAACTTAACAGACACCATGGTGACACCATCCCAGGCAGAAATATTAGCTGGGCTGCTGACATCAATACTTCTGATTATAGATGATAATCTTTGGCCTGTTTTGCAGTGTTTAGTCCTGTTTCTCTCCTAGACATAGCTATAGTCCTCATGGACTGAACTGTTAAACCAGAGTGTCAGTGATTGGGCGGTGTCTGCAGATCCAAAAAGTTGCTGATGGCTCATCTCCTTAGCTTTCTTTCCTAGATAGAGCCACCTTTGATTTCATTCAGTTTTTTTACATTATCAGTACATAAATAAACTGAATGAAATCAAATTAAACATGTTTGTTTCAATGAGGCAGCTCTTCTTCCTCTCACAAAATTATTTTCAAGGAAACTGAGAACTTTGGTAATGCTTACTTGGTTATGTACTTACATCCCTTTGGGAACTGACATTCATCTATCTATTGCCTTATCCCCAACTGGGTCATGAAGAAAACAGGTCCAGAATGAAAATATGTGTAATCCATCTCTCCAGCTTATTATTTGAGGAATGGTGATCACATCTTATAAGTTATTTCAATTAATGTAGGTCATAAATAATATGGTGTGTATTTTTTTCCTTAAAAATATCTGTTCCTTTTAATCAATAGAGAAATGCAGGATTAAAAGGAAAGAAGATCTAAATACACTGTAGCAGATCATCATTTAACAAAGAAAAACTTTCAAACGTAAGTAAGATCTAGACAGAACAAATAATTGCCTAAAGAAATGCCTCACACTTCAGTTGAGCTGTTTTAAATTTAGTTACAGCCACTGAACTCATTTTAATCAAATACAATATATATGAACCCTCAAAACAAAGTATTTTATTTAATCATTTGTGTTTAGCCCTGTGGTATCAATGCTTCATTTGACAACATTCTTCTACCTGTTAGTGGCTCTACATTGTTCATTGGAAACTACAGTATACATGAATTTCTTTATGAGTTTTCCCTTAACAAAGATTTCTTGCTGTAACTGTTTTCATACTGATATAGTTGGAGCTAAATAAAGGAAAACCCTACCAGCAAATACGTTGGATGTTGCAGAAGACTTGAAAAGTAGATGTTTTACTACAAAGCATAGTAATCAGACCTGGTCCTTAGCCAGAATTACAATGGATTAAATGTTTTTGATTACTTTGACCTCATTAGACTTCAGGCTTGGAACAGACTTGAGACACAGTGGCAGGATTTAATCCTTGCTGCTGAAAGATCCCCTAAATTTAATCTGAGTCAGACATTAGCCACACTTTTCAGACAATGATAATAAATTTATGACAAAGTTTGTAATGCTGACAAAGGGAAATGGTTATGATGAGTTTTACAAGGCACTTCACTCACAATCTGCAGGTTTACTAGTGGTTCCTATAGAATATCTAAAAGTAGAATGGGAGGCAGATCTTTTAGTTATCAGGCTCCTATCCTGTGGAGCCAACTACCAGTTTTAGTCCGTGAGGCAGACACCCTGTCTACTTATAAGGGTAGGCTCAAAACTTTCCTTTATGATAAAGCTTATAGTTAAGGTGGCACAGGTTATCCTGAGCAATCTCTATAGTTATGTTGCTATAGGCTTAGACTTCTGGAGGACATAGGGACCCCTTTTTCATCATTCTGCTTCATTCTATCTATATTCTCCCACTCTGCAAACAAGTTTAATGTTAAACGTTATGCTCTTTCTGCTTTTTCTCATAGTAGCTTCGCCTCAACACCATCCTTGAGAGAAATATCAGCTGTGCTGCCGCCATCAACACCTACAGTAGATGTTGATGGCAGCAGATGTTCAACACTATAGATGTCCAAGATCGGCCTGTTTTTCCATTGTAGTCCTGTTTCTCTGACTGTGACTCACTGGATGTGATCTCTTCATCCTCTGACATGGGAGTTTGCTTGGAGCTCGTCTACCTGACTGTATGTTTCCTGGATGGGGCCGCCTTTTACAGTTGCCTTTTGTTTCTCTGCTTCTGTCTCCTTGAACCCCAGTCGGCCTCGGCAGATGGCCGTTCACACTGAGTCTGGTTCTGCTGGAGGTTTCTTCCTCTTAAAAGGGAGTTTTTCCTCTCCACTGTCGCTACAAGCATGCTTACTATGAGGGATTGCGTTTGAGTCAATGAGTCGATGCAAACAACTGGTTTTCCTTAGATAGAAAACTTTGAATCAATTTGACTTTATGTTCTGGTGAACTGTAAAGTGCCTTGAGATGAAATGTGTTGTAAATTGCTGCTATATAAATAAACTGAAATAAATAAAAAATACATCAAGACAAACAAGATAATGATATATGTATTCTGACATGTACAATCCCGAAAAATTATTTTTTTTTAATCTATTTATTTATCTATTTATTTATAAACAATCTATTTATTTATAAACAAATAAAAAATTATGATTACATAAATAATGGCTTAAGACTTTTGCAATGACCTATGCTTAAATACCAACAGGAAAATGCATTTCTATAATAAATCCAAAAATTCAAAACATACATTTGTCATTTCTCTTTCATCATCATATAACAAGATGAGTAAGAACTCGGTTTTACACTTTATTAAGTATCTTAATGTCTACATAGTTCATAAAGGAAAGGAAGCAGAGGAGGGACTGAAATAAAATATTATAGCGGGGAGAGGATGTGAGTGATGAAGCTGATGGTGAAGAGAAGAAGGTAAGGCGCTAGAAGATACATTATAATTAAAACCACGGAAAGACCAAGTTAGGTTAATATGAAAGTAATGATTCCAACTTAGTTTAGCATTCAACACGTGTCGTTGGGAAGTGATGAGGAGAGGGAGGTGAAGGAAGGAAGGAGGGAGGAGAGGGAGGTAGAGAGGCGTTGCTAGGTGACGGAGCGTACATAGGCCTACTGAATTTTAACAAAATCACGGGAGAGGAGATAGTGAGTGAGAGGGACACAGAGGGTAGCAGCCAGCCACATGTAGCCTCTCCGAGTGGAGGAAAGGTCCAAGCTGTGCGCGCGCCTGATTCCTTCTCTTGGGTTTGATTTGTTCTTTTTCTTTTCTGGAGGGACAACATGTTTCCGTTTCATCCCGGGGACATTATCCCGCAACATTAGTATTGATCCGGCTGCATGCCGCAGGAAATGTCCAGCGGAGGGATGGACAGATGGATTTTGGTGCACGGGGAGAAGAACTGGAGAGCAAAAAGAGAAGAGGAAGAAGAGTGTGGGGCTGCTGAGAACGGTGAGTGGATTCCTCCCCTGTCTTCTGTCGGACACTTGTTTTCTGGCTCCCTTTTGGGTTTTCTCACGTTTGAAGGTGAAAACATTGCGCCACGTCTCGGGGAACTGTCTCCAGCTTTGCCCTTCATATCCCGGCGCTCCACTGCCTGATGCTGTTGCATTTCTCCACAGCTTCTCGTGCAGACTCCACTGTCACGGGCAGGACGCGGCCGGCCGGCGCGCGTGACTTTGACCCCTATGTCATTGATGCGCACGCACGCCTAACTGCTTGTGTTTTTGGCTGTTTCACACCGGCGCGCACAGACCGGTGTCTGGTCCGTTTCTCCCACCCCCCCCCCCCTAAACACCCCCAGCCCGGGCTTTAACTCAGACCATAAGTTCCGGTCAGTGACAGGCAGAAGCAAGCAGCTGTGATTCAGAGGTGACATTTCTGATAAGCCGCATACATGCGCCGGCGATCAGCGCACAGGCGTTTGCATCCTGTCATATCTCAGCAGGTTGTTGCGCATAGCCATCATATGTGAGTTATGGCTTTCTCCCCAAAACTCCCCCTTCCTCACCCCTCCTACTTTTCTCCCCCTCGGTGTTACCAGCTGTGGGGCACCTATTAGATCTGGGATCCGTCTTCTAGTGGTTTTGTGTGCGCGCATTAACAGCTGGTGCACCAAGGAACAAGCTGTTTGCTTGAAGATCACTCCTCAGGACAGACAAGGGAGTTCAGCATTCACAGGAGAATGAACCTTCATTTTTCCTCTAATCTAAATACACGCAGTTCCTCAAATCTCAAATTAGACAAAACAATTCAGGGATTGATAATAATGATGCTGATGATGCCATTTCAGCGGTGTGTGTGGGCTTGATTCAACAGTTTGTCTTTATGCTTCAGCCTGCCTTGAATTGAATTTCCAGTCATGTAGCAAAAACACACTAATCATCCTTTCATTTCTTTACAGCTGCCTGTGTGAGTCTACATGGAACAATTTGGCAGAGTAGGAGCTCATGGCCAGTGTGGCATTAGCAGGGAAGATTGATATTTTCTTGGGAGAATAGCGGGGCATGAAGCAATTATTTCTGTGTGTTGGCGCCTTTCTAAGTCTGATACTCCCATGATAAACACAGAAATGAAATTCAATTAAAATCTGTTTTTTTCCAAATCCAAGCAGACCGTTGAACATTAGCATTTTGCACTTGCTTGTCTGACCTTGTGGCCCTCTCTGTAGAAAAAAATAAAAGTAATAATTCTCTGCATCACTGTCTTCTTGCTTCCACCATTTTAAGCTCAAAGCTGCTGAGCCAGCAATATTATCCTGTTTGGCCCTATCCAGACACCCTGTCTTTTGTTGAAGTGGACTCTGGGTAATGGATAGAGATGCTTTCAAGCTGAAAATGATAAGATCTAAAAAAAAAAGAATCTCATATTAACTCTCATTTTCAATTTTTTTAAGGTCTCTGCCAAGGCGAGGCTCTCCAGAAATTAGAATGGTGTGGTTAGAGCTAAACAGACAGTTTTTATCCAATTGTCACGTGAGTTTTAAGCAAAAATGTTTTATGTTACAAAAAAGAAGTGTCAGGCTTGTTTCAATCTGCTGGTTTGGAGCAAATTAACCAGGTATGCAAATTTCACCAGGATTAATTGTTACACGTGGCTGTGATAAACAGGAAGGAGAGATGAATGGAGCATAGATCTGAAAAAAATGAACAGAGGTTTTCGGAAATGTGTTGCTATTGGGCAAGTTGGATTTGTTCTGTCCTGTAAACCAGTGGTCCTGCGTGCTTCAGACATGCTTGTGCTGCAGATTAACTTCATCAACAATTAGCAAGACCTCAGCAGCAACCAAGGGCTGCAGAAGCTTGGCAATCAACCACTTATTTTGGTCAGATGGAGGGAGGCAAGGACATCCCTCAGTACTGGGTTTGTAAACTACTATTGGTGAAGTTACACACTGTCAAGAGACAGAGAAAAAAATATGATAACAATCATAGTATAAGAGACAACACCCTTTTGTGGAAACTGCTGATCGGTCACGTGATGGAAATTTTTGTTTTCAAACATGTGTCCATTTCCTGTTAAGTGCATCAGAAAAGTCAAAAATCACCTCAAGCAGCAAAAAACTTTTTGAAATTGGGGGAGTTATTTTAATTTAAGTTAATTTTTAATTTCTGCATTAAACATTTGTAATGTAAATCTTCAAAATATGCATTAAACCTTGATGGAAGATGGCTAATGTAGGAAAAAAACAACAACACAAAACAAGGCATGCCATTAAATCCAGAGTTTCTGAATATTTGTGCTCTTGGAATGCAAGTAATGGATGAAGAAGTTGATAATTTCTTTGCTGAAATTGCAGACTTGTAGATGGTCACAATGCTCTGACTAATTAGTGCATCTTTCCATCACTGCGTATGTTTGAGGTTGGGAAATAGAATTGAGCACATCTGATTCGGCTCAAATGATAATGGCTGGACAAATAGGTCCGAGCCTCTCCAAAACTGCAGCTGTTCTGGGTTTTTCCAGTCTGCAGTCGTCCGTTTCTATGAAGCATAGAAAGGAATGAGCAATATGATTATGGGCAGCCAAAGCTCCCTGATGCACATTTGGAGCAAAGGCTGGCCTCTATGATTTGATCTCACAGAGGACCTGCTGTAGCTCAAACTGCTGAATAACTCATTGCTGGTTACAAGAGAATGAGCACTGACAGAGCACAGCTGTGTGTTACTATTAGGCTGCATAGCTCATGGAGACAGTGTCAAACTTTAAGCAATGTTCTACATGAAATCTTTTTGTCTTGAGTTACAAGTGGATGTCGCTTTGACATATGAGACATACCTAAGCATTATTGCAGATCTAGTACACACTATACTTAAAATGTAATATAATATAATGTAGGAGAAAGAAGAGAAGGTCTAGGTGAGGATTTTAGATGCACCATTTCTTCATCCGTTTGAGCAAAGAGGGAACCAATATAAGGTTATGCAGGTTGTATTAATGTTATGCTTTATCAGTGTACAACAAAGATTAACAAAATGTGAATTGGTTGACAATCAATATCTTGGAAAAATATTTTCATAACCCTAATGATAAAGAAAAAGTGTATTTGCTACAACTGCAATGTTTAGAAATAATTATAATAAAAAATAACATTAATAAATAACATAATAATAACAGCAATTCACACATCAGAGGTATTTGAAACATGCATCTGGATATACGGTTCAATGTCTTATAGGACTAAAAAGAATTTCAGAAATAACTGTGATTAACCAATAACTGAATTCTTCCTCCACTAATTTGGTAATCAAATCAAATCATTATCTAGCATAACGGCACACAGACTCTAAAACATGCCATAACCTATGCAATATTTACCGTTATTGAAAATAATATTGAATATCAATATATATATATAGTCCAGCAGAAAAAAAACAGACTATTTATTCAAGTAGGAATGGTTGGACAGACATCTGAAATTTAAAATCAGGGTTGCTTGGGACTCACTGAGGAGGATCCAACTTCCAGGTACAACTCCAATGCAATATTTACTGAAGTGTTCTTACTGGTGGTACTAGAGGCATTTGTGTAGGTAGGAGTCAACAATCTTGATTCCCATTCTGAAGACCATGACTAGTGGTCTGTTATGATTATTTCAGCCCTTCTCTTCTTGGTAAATTTTAGTAGGATACTTTCTATGAAACGCAGAAAAATGTGCTGCTATATTTTTATGTAATACTGGTTCAGGTAAGGAACCATTCTAGTCAGCCATCTCTGCAGCCTCCAACATTCAGCACAAAATGCTGATCTAAAAAAATCACAGTGCTTATCCAATTTGGGATTTTAGGAAGCAGCCTGATACAGCTTGTATTAGCTATCATTCTAACAGACTTTTGGGAGCATATCTACTCCCCTCACATTAAATAACAACATCTCTATAGTCAAGTAAAAAGACATACTTTTGCATTTTAAAGGAATTTCCTTTACCATTTCGGTCTCTGTGTAGCCACCAAAACTGGAGTAGCCATTGTTATCCGGGTAAACACTGTCCAGAGGAGGCTTTTGATCCTACATTTTCTGGATGGTATGACACATTTAGATATTTCAGCTTTCAGTTCTGATGCTCCTGATTGAAATAAGGCACACATGGAATGCAGTCATACCGTACACAAATACAGTATAATAGGAAGGGCAAGTGTCCCTAATGGAACCACCCGAAAACCATATTACAACTAGAGGAAAGCCAACGGGTATAAAAAGTAATGATTAAAATATCCTTTTCAGCTTTTTTATTTGAACACTAATGTAATAAATTTGGAGCACATAAAGACATGCCCTTATTGGACATTGTTATGACTCCACAGGGTCAGAAAAATGTATACTTCTGAGGGCATGTTGCTTAGATACTCTTAAGAATATGTATACATTAGCAGCCATTCAAAATTTCCCCTCTTTCCTTGCCTTACAATTCCTTTTTAAACATCAATCTTTGTACTACAATATTCTTTCAGTCATGATTTGTGGCCATTAAGATCTAAAGAGCGTTATCTCCTGTAATTCAGTGAAAGGGTGAGGTCAGAGTAAAAAAATATGAACGCCCAGGAGAAGGCCAGTTGCTTGAAGTTGAAGGGGATTCTGCTGGGAGATCAAGTTGGCTGCCATTTGGCTGGCTTTTGACTGGGAAGGGCCATTTGAATGGCTGCTACTGTATGTGCTCTATGTGTATGTTTCCACAACTTATCATGCAGGGGTGTAGTGATGAAAGTAGTGCAGGTTGGAAAATTGGAAACTGAAACTAGAAAAGAGAATTGAGTCAAACCTGAGATGTGCCAAGCCAGCCAGAAATGGTAGTTTGAATATAAATGAACAGAGAGATCTAATGATGCCATTGGACTGAACATTGTTTATGCCTTAAAGATATCTCAATTTAAGTATGCTATAGATCAACAACACCACCATGACTTATGCATATCATGCAATGATGCTGCAGTCTTTAGAAGTTAGTTTTAGAA